GTGTTGTGATCTACCCTTATTTTGCTGTGTGGTCTGTCTGTGTAAAGTTTACCTCGGAGGCTCAGTTTTGTTACTTTTTTGGAGTTCAGCATTAAAGCTGTATTTGAGTTCACGTTTCGTTTCCGTGACTCTGCATTTTGGGTCCTTCATATCACCACTCCTGCCTGCACACAGCCTTCTCATAACAATCAGGCCCTTGTAGAGCAAAATTGAGTATTTTGGTCTAAATACCCCAAAATGTGATGTCCACATACATGGACGCCAGGTCCTAGAAGGTTATAAATGCTTTTTGGTAATAAATCTTATACCATTGAAAAGCCTGTTTATTTCCCCAGAAATAGTGCCATTTGTAGAGTTGAGTTGAGTATGTGGGTTGCGCCGATGAAAAACTTGCCAAATCGTGCTCACCAGGTTGGTCACACACTACTGTGCCATCCCGTTCTTTAACCAGCAATTTGCAAGTCAGCCAGTATGGTTATGTTGGTCACTCTGGCACAAACAGGACTCCCATGCGAATCTCACAAGTGTTCACTGGGATTGAGGTCTAGACTGCAGCCAGGCTACTACATCCTTTCCGCTCCCAAATGTTGATTCAACCAACTCTGTAGAGGCGAGGATTGTCTTCTTGAGGCTAGAGTTTGGTCCAGTCTTTGGAGATATGGGACTGCCACTGGTTGCAGAATCTCATCTTGATATTTCTCTGCACTGAAATGGCCTCCAGTGATGACAAGCACTGCTTTTTCCAGTGAGGGAGATGCTGCACCACACTATCACACTGCCTCCACCAGCAATCAGCACAGAGTTCTCATAGCGTTGTCGAAATCTTTTCCATACTATGATCCTAAGATCCAACTGGTGTAGGCAGAATTTGGACTCATTGCTGAAAACTACGTCCCTCCACGTTTTGATTCTAGTGCACATGTTGCAGATACCAGTGCAAACAGGGCTGATAGTTAAGTGCAGGCATGGTAGGCTTCCTGGTAGCCCCATGAGACTAGCTGTGTGCAATCCCTTCCAGATTGTCTGTGTCGGGAGCCATTGACCATGTTGTCCTGCAAACCTTGACTGCAGAGGTTTAGATGACTGTCTACAGTTCCTAAGTGCTGGCAAGGCGATAAAACTGTCTTCTTGTGATGTTTTCTTCTTTGCAGCCAGTCTGACATCCCCCACTATACGGAACTTGGCCTTAATAATAATAATAATGGATTGGATTTATATAGCGCTTTTCAAGGCACCCAAAGCGCTTTGCAATGCCACTATTCATACACTTAGAATTGGAGATGGTACTGGGGCTCACTCAAAATATTGATATAGCTTAGTTATGCAGAAAACTAGTTTGAGGTTGCACTAAAGCTCTATCCAGATCACTCAAATGTGGCCTGCTTGGAGCAGACACCAGCAGACCGTTCCAGCTATAAAAATGCTTTCCCCCACTATAAGATTTTTTACCAAGAAGAACTGTTACAACAAAGGGATAATCAACCAAACACAAATTTCTTTACTTGTTTAATGTTTGTTTTAACTTTACAGTAAATGTACAACAACAAATATAAGCTTTGTTATTCTGTTTAGGATTCATTTCCATCAGTCCCCGGTTCCAGATCGGTCTCTGCATTTTCATTCATCATCTGTGAATATTTACTCTTGAAAAACCCAGCCTAGGAGTGCAAGGGGAAAAAATGAAAGTACAGAGATCATGCATTAGACTTACATTCAAAATTAAAGCAAATAACTACATGAGTAAATATAAACTCTTGAACTATGTTTAAAAAAATAGACATACTCTCTAAAAACCTTTCACAGCTGTGTGATGAGTTGAAAAAGTGTAAGAAGAGTCTTTCACCTTATACAGGCCAGCAGTGAGTAAAGCCAGAAAAGCCAACCCTCCCAGGGATCCTCCTATAATCTCTTTGGTGAAATTTGTCTGAGGATACACTTCTACCTCGACTATAATCTGAGAGATAAGGTAA